TATTATAGATTATATATAAAAAAGTGTTATAGCTATTATACCTGATATTGGCGTTATAGATATTATATCTTACATTAGTATTTCTCTTTGCATTATACAGTAGTCTTTTAAAGCAGAATGCTTAGGGTCCTGTTCAACGAAGTGGGGCCCAAATTGGAAAGAAAGCTGCTTTTTTTCTCCTGATGAAAATATTTAGAAACAAGAGATGGAACATATGTTCATTTTAATATTTAGAGACAAGAGATGGAACATATGTTCATTTTCCAAATATACCCCATTAAATAGAGGGAGAGAAATTTTGTAGTGAGATGCTTCAGACATATAAATCTCCAGCACTTCTAAATAATACTCCATTTACTGGATTTTTTCTTTAAACTTTCATGCAAAAATGGGCAATGAAAAATATATAGGAACAGAAGGGTTTGTAAAATCAGACTGTTAGATGCTATAAACATAGTTTTATAGAAAAACAGATGCAAAAGATCAGATATAAAGGAAGAAAAACTTTTTCATCAAATATGTGATAAAACTTCTGTCCAGTCTTAAGAGGCATCAAAGTTTGCTTTCCAAATCCATACTGCTATTGATGTGGCCTGAAGCCTGGGAGTTTGGGGTGCAGCAGCAGATCGTTTATTCGTGTGCTGCATGGGGAGGCATTGCTCCCCCGGGATGCTCGGGGAGCGCATTCTCATGGCTCTGCTCACGCTGTTGCTGCATCTGGTCTTCATTAAGTTTCCAGCTTCGGCTGACGAAGTACAGATGCGAGCGGCTTTGCAGGGGGGAGAAGAGGAGGAGGAGGGGAAGAACAGGAAATTCCCAGAGCATGAGCTGGGGGCAGGGTAAATCATTACTTGGCATTTTATATGCGACAGCGGGGCCAGGCCTGGAAAGAAGAGTTGCTGTTTTTTAGGGATGCAAGGACAGATTTGTCTTTCTCGCTACACTGACGACTGTTGAGAGATAAACCGTGGTTTTGCCTGGGGTTTAAGTGAGCCTGTTCTGCACCTCCTGTTTCTTGTTCCTTAACCAGTTCTGCATTAATTTGCCCACATTCCCGAGGGGCAGCAAAACTGATGGGCAGGACTCTTGCTCTGGTGCTGGAGGTGTCCGCCTGCTAGGGAGGTTGGGCCATCCCAAGGCCGAAGCTGGTTGTCTTGAGATATGGAGAAACATGGAAGCATGTTGCTGATGATTCCCGTATCGTTCTCTTCTCTGAACCCATCCCTTGCCAGAAGGCCTGCCCGCTCCTGCCAGCAAGCCTGCCGGGTGCCTCAAGCTGAATAGTTTGCAAGGCAAATGTCTAAAAAACAATTTGGTGTTACAAAAAGTGTCTGTTCTCTGTGATCAGACATGGTGTGGAGAGGCTGGAGGTGTCTTTTCAGGGTGAAGGTAAAACTGAGGTTCTGGCTAAAGGTCCCCTGATCTTTCTGCAGGAGCTGTGGGTGGATCAGTCCCAGTGTCCTGGCCCTGGCCCTGGCCCAGGTTTGGGAGCAGGGATCTGCTGCGTTATCCCCCCGTGGTTTCGGTGAGACACGATCCGTGCCGTTGCCAAGCCGAGGCTTGGTTGTGGTGCTCTGTGGTGGTCAACAGCTCTGCGGTTTGCACCTCTACTAGGCAGCGAGACCTGTGTGTTGTGTGGTCGTTTATTTTTGTAAAGTACTTCGGCTCTTTTGCATTTCACAGGGTGGTGTTACTCTGGTACCTTTCTAGTTTTTAAATAAGTTATCATAAACAATATATTAAAATAATAAATACAAACAAATATATTAATAAGTATATAATACATGCATATGAAGGTGGTCTTTGCAAGCAAATAGTATGTTGCTGTGTCAGAAATACTTGCGTACCTTAGCAGCAGTATATGGAGTGTGGTGCTAAAATGAATGGTCTCTCAAAGCAGAAAGAGTTTTCTAACATTTTGCCGCAGGAAGAAAATTGAAATAATGCATGTATGTACCTTATCAGAGCAGCGTCCTTCTTGTGAGGGACTTGTCTACTGGAAAGAACCAGCCTGTGCTGCAGCTCCACGTGGACCAGGGGCGAAGGTTTGGCTGTGGGTTCTCCCGCATGCAGCTGCTAACGAAGCCATCCTTAGCTCCAGTGGGAGAATGGGAACTCCTCTGTGCAGAGCAGGGCCAGGTTCATTAGATGAAACATTCCTTCAAGCGCTTCTGGAGGGCAGAGGCAGGAGAAGGGATGGTCAGAGGGAGCCAGTGTTTTCACGTTTCATAGGTACTTGTGCTGGTGAGCTGCTCTTAGCCTGTCTCTTGCTTTGGTCTCTGCGTTGGGTAAGTCCGTGCAAGCACTGCTCTGCCGTGAACGCTTCGAAATTCAGTGTCTTTGGTCCGGTTTGACCACAGTGCTGAATTTCTGGTGGGTGCTCACCATCTGCACAGCTGGGGCTGTTGGGAAGGCAGTGCTTGCTAAAGTAAAACTAAGCGCAGAGCACATCAACTGGAGATGTTTCTTCCCCTGTATTTGTTGCACCCAAGTGGTACCCCGCTGCTGGAGCCTCTCAGGTTAGTTTTGCAAATGGTTTGGAGTGGAGGAGGAAGAGGTGGGATGGCAGAGCTCCAGCTCCTCAGGGCAGAAGTACATCTGGGTGCTCCACTGCATATGGCTGGCATGGGTGCCGAGGTGGCCCACGGGCAGACTGTGCGTGGGGCAAGAGCTCCCAAAGAGGAATCCCTGGGGCAGCAGCTCCCACCGAGTTTTGAAGTTGGCAGGAGCCATTGCCAGTCAGGAAAGCATAACGCAGCCGATAGATGATGAGTAGCATCTTCTGAGTCCTGCTGTGTGTCTCTGCACACTGTTGTCTTTTAACTTTGTACTTTAAAATACACTATTTGGTCTATTTCCTTTCAAAAGTTTCCACTCCCTGTAGTCTAAATAAGATTTCTCATCCGCTCTTCTCTGTTCGAGCCCGTGAACTTTCATCGTCTTGCATTGAGGGAATTGTGAGCTGTCAAGGCTCTGAAAAATAAAGATTTTGATTTCCTTTCAGAAACTTGCTATTAGTCAATTTGACAAAGCACAGCACAGGCGTGTGTTCCTTCACCCAGAGTAAAACGGCTATTGGCAACTTCTTCTGGCATGTTACAGATTTTGGAAAATATATTTCTTTTCCTTGTGTGTTGGGGAGCGCAGCCATGCCCACACGCACAAGATTTGACATCTTTTACTAATGACAGAACTCGCTGTCCTTGTTGATCAAAGCCAGGTGGCAATATCTGCCAAGACCTAAATGTTCTTTAAAGGTGTTTTTCCTGCTATTTCCAGTTCCAGATACAGGCAGTGGCTGCAATAAAAGAGAAACCAATTCCAACTTTTCAAAAATTAGGATGGTCACATCTTCTGCTGATATAAGTCAGCATTTCTATACTGGGTGGCGATGCATAGACTTGCACTCAGAAGGATCTAGTGCTGAAGTTTTTGTAAGGCCTTTCCAGTTCAGAAATTACTGTGCTCTGTTTCAATGTTCCTTTTGGCTCCCCAGTCTGGGGGACTTGGACGTGTCAGAGCAGAGCATGAGAGGAGGCTGCGTTTGAACCACATTCAGCATGGACATGCAGATGTAAGAAATTCAGTAAAATATTCAGACATGCATTTTTGCTTTTCTAAACAAGCAAAATTTCTGACCTATCTGAAATTTGCCCCCGATTTATCACTTCTGATCCTATTTTATTTTCTCTATACTGTTTGGCCTTAATGAAGTTTATGTCACATATTTATGTTGATTACTACCTGAAAACTTTATACCAGTTGTAGTTGCAAATAAAAGATGATCTAATTGTAAAATAGCTTAGGAAAAGCATTTTTTCTTTGCCTTTCTTTATTGTATGTGTTTGACAGCACGTCGTGTCTCATCTGCTTCGCTACTTCCCGGTTAGTCACTTTCCCCTGTTTGTGCAGGGTTTTCCCACAGCAACTGGGAAGCAAAAAACATTTTAATCATAGGAAAACTGGAAGGGGATTTGCTTGCAGATGCAGGACCTGAAGTGTCATTCAACTCTTTTTTCTTTTTTTTTTTTTCTTTTTTTTCTTGCTTTTATCATTTAGATCATTATTTTGTGCTGTGGTGGTGTCTGAGAACTGTATGGACCATACCTCCGCTGAGGTCCACACACTGAAAAAACCCCATATGCTTATGGTTTCTTAGTCAAACATACTGCGTTTTATTCTGAAGAGCCTCAAATGTAAATAGAATCTACGAAAATCTTTGCTTGTCACCCCATGTAATGGTCAACTGTGTCGCGGTCCTTCTGTTGAGCAATGCTGCCTGCTGAGACCTGACGTTCCTGCATGGGCGCGCGGTGCTCAGCCAGTCCCTGCCTCTGTCTTGGCAGAGGATTTTGCAATGTTAAGTGTAAGCTCTTAGCCCTGAGGAGTTCTCATTCTGAGCACCACAAAGCTTTTCTTTGTGCCATTTTTTATGCAAGTTTTAAATTAGAACATGGTAGTTTGATCAGTTGTTTCCTACACATCATTCCCTGTTGTTGAGTGCAACTATTAGGCTCCTAATAGCTGTTCCACGTTTGAACTATGCAGGACAGTAGCAGGACGTTGCCACTGTAAGGTTTATGTATATAACACTTTTCTCATAGTTTTTCTTTTAAATTCTGAACATCGACGTGGGGCTATTGTGAATGTCTATATGTTGCAGCTACAGCAAGAAGCACGGTGATGGGTGCATGATGAATGTTTATATACTTGCAAACATAACTGCTTTTGTTTAGACATTGATGTAAAACAAAACCCGCAGTATTTCCTTAAGGCTGTGGGCATTCAGCTCCAGAACTAACCTTTATGTCTGAGGCCTATTTCTGTTCCTCTTCAATCTTCACACAGCAACTGGAGTCTCTTTGTTATGTCCAGCAAGTGTCCAATGTACTAATGGTTTTCCATTTCACACTCCTCTTCCCTTGCATCTTACCTGCTTAGTACCCGAGCCTTAAAGGTGACACCATAACAGCTCTCCTTTTCTTTCCCATTTCTCACAGTGAGGCTGTCTGGGAGAGCATGGCTCGCATGTGTGTGAAGACTCAGAGGCTCGATGTTGCCAAAATTTGCCTTGGAAACATGGGTCACGCAAGAGGAGCCAAGGCGTTGAGGGAGGCTGAACAAGAACCAGAGCAGGAGGCCAGAGTGGCTGTGCTGGCCATTCAGCTGGGCATGCTGGTAAACCCCGCCAACCATACGCATCCAGGAATATCCACCCCACTTAACTAGGGACAAAAATGAGAAACTCGTAATTTTTTTTAAATTCTGAAATGCAAAACCCTTAGTGGAGAGTAAAACCTATTGCCAGGTTTCCAAGGAATGATGAAGAATAATTCTGACAATTATTTTCCTGATGTTGAGTTTTTATCTTAGGGAAATAGGCATCTCCTTCAGCATTGCACAGCCTCGTGCTGCACGATTCCTGCGCGACACTGATCAGGGGCTTTCCCTGAGCTCCAGAGGCTCAGCAGTCCCCTGAGCCCTTTTCACATTCCTCAAAGAGTAGATGAGAATGAGCGTGGCAGAATCTGATGCCTGGAAATAAGAGTACCAGGAGCCATAGCAAACTAATTTGTCTGTTTTCTTAACTGCTGTACAGAATTTATATATGGGAGTTTTACTCCCATATGAAAAATTGCTGAATGAGGGAAACTGCTGAATGAAGGAAACATCTTTTAAGGATGGTTTATGTGTGAAACATTAAGCAGAAAAACTGTTTTCTTGGGGCATAATCCTTCCAAGCTTAATCATTCTAAGTTTGACTGGATTAAAAAAAGGATGTACTTTAAAGTATTGTAGCTAAACTGTTTCAAAAAACATACATTAAGGTCCAATATGGGAAACGCAAGTTCCGTTTTGACATGTTTGTTTGTAGAGCGAAAGGCTAAAGCCGTGTTCTGCCAGAGAGCGAGGGCTGGCTTAAGGCATTTAAGCAGTTTAGGCAAAATCGATGTTTCCTGCAGGCTTGGAGAGCTCTGGCGAGTCACTTTTGCTGCTTGTGCTGTCCCAGAGATGCCTGTTCTACCACAGTCGCCCAGATTTCCATCCCAGCTTCTTCCGTCGTGGGAGCAGTAACTTGTCTGGATCCAGCACAGCCAGGGGACATGGTCAGGCTCTTCTCCCCGTAGTCTGGTGCACGAGGCGACTGTCCCTTGTACCTGTATCTGGAGCCCGTCCTGGCAGCAAATACATACCAAAATGGACCTTGTCTTTCCCATGTGTCTTTACTGTAGTCTGAACCCACTCCCCTTGATTACCAACAGAACTGAGATCTAAAATGGGTTTGAGACCAGCATTATCATGTGGACTGAAAACTGACCGGGGAGCTGTTGAGTTAGATGAATGCTAAGAGCATGTGTTCGACTTGGTTCACCTTTATTTAATGTCTTCATCAATCATCTGTAAGAAAAGCAGAGATTTTTAGTTTGGGAACCATAAAAGATCCAGGCATATGATCTGTAAGAGGGAAAAACTGGGAAAGGAGAATTGATGAAATACCCCACAGTTCGTAGGAAATCATGAATTAGATAAAAAATGGCAAGGTGCTATGAGAGCAAAATCTGTTTGGGGCTGCATTTGAGGAGACGCCACATCTTGGGGCTTTGGTTTGATAACTTCTGTCTATGTATTTGTTGCAGCTACAGCTGGAACATTGACTTCTACCCTTAAGTATCTCATTACCAGAAAAAAACATTGATGAACTGGAAGAAGTTCAGAGAAAATCAGTGCAAATTGTTAAGCTCTTGGAAAGGTTTCACAGACAAGGAAATCTTTAAGATAGCCAAATAATTAGAATTTGGCTTAAAAAGGTGTTTAGCAATCAAAGGTTTAACAAGGCCAAGTGCAAGGTCCTGCGCCTGGGTCAGGGCACCCCCCAGTATCAGTACAGGCTGGGGGATGAAGGGATTGAGAGCAGCCCTGTGGAGAAGGAATTGAGGGTACTGGTGGAGGAAAAGCTGGACATGAGCCAGCAATGTGCACTCGCAGCCCAGAAGGCCAATCGTACCCTGGGCTGCATCAAAAGCAGCGTGGCCAGCAGGTCGAGGGAGGGGATTCTGCCCCTCTGCTCTGCTCTGGTGAGACCCCACCTGGAGCACTGCATCCAGCTCTGGAGCCCTCAGCGTAAGAAAGGCACGGACCTGTTGGAGCGGGTCCAGAGGAGGGTCACAAAAATGATCAGGGGGATGGA